GAGTGGTGACCGGTGCCTGTGATGGCATACACCACCCGGAGGCCTTCTCGAGCATGCTTAAGCAAGATCTTCTCGAGATATTCGATCGCCTCTTCTGGGTGAAGACCATGAAGATCAACGTAGAGTTCTTCTGAAGATTCATCCAATCCCTTGTGAGAGAGATGTTGATTACGTTCTTCATAAAGCTGACGTGCAGCCTCCCGATGACACCTGCGCATCGCGTCGTTCTCGGCCTGGCCGCGCAACGACAATGCTTTGGCAGCTCGTGCATCATTGCGATTCCATGCCTGGGCAGCACTGGTAGATATAGTCGTTAGAAGGGGTGGAAGATAATATTACTCGCTGAAAGCTTACCTTTGGAGGAACTTGTTTCGCACAGTGCCATGGCGAATAGCCTCTGTTCGGTATTTGATATATTGTTGATTGGCCCGCGTGCCTGTCTCCAGCCAGGGAATATTTTGCGGGGGTGGGATAGACTGAGCCGCGGCACTGTTCTCGCGACCCTTTGTGTCCTTTCTGGCGCCAGATTTAGTTTTCCCGGGGACAGGAGATGGGGTCATTCGAACCACATCCGCCAGAGATGAAGGGATGGTTTCTTTGCTCAGGCTGGTTTCGCGGTTAGTATGACCGCCCCGCTTCCCATGGTGCTTTTTCCCGGCATTTTTCGCATTGACCGCGGCAAGAGTTGGGAAGGCATCTGGATCGTCTACAGAAGGTGCAGCGGGATTCAACTCCCGGTTCTGGTGACGGCTTGATGGACGGGAGCTCGGACGTCCGAGATGAGTTGCGCTTCCATTTCTCTTGCCCATTCCAGGAAGGAGGCCAGGGGGCGCATACTTGCTGGCCTGATAAGCAGAAAGATGGCCAGGGTACCGGCTCGTGTACTGGGTTGCCCATTGGTCACCGTTATCTGCCGCTTGCAAGGGTGGGAATGCATCAGATCCGCTGTCTACCTGGAACGGGGAGGGCGAAGCTGGTCGACTACCATCCGTGACACTGAGATTGCCGATAAGCGCCGAAGGATCGTGCGAGAATGGACATCCATCACCGGCTAGACAATTTCCCATAACCCAATATCTATTCGCATTTGTTAGCGCAAGAACGATTGGTTTATTCCGCATACCCAGTAACACTCACTTGCACACATGTGTGGTTAGGTCATGACTAAAACGACAGTCCGCTCGAAGGCATTGTCCAGTGGATAGCCAGTACTTACAGACCACAGGGCTGCGACTGCTTCCCAATGGCGTGACCGGGCGTACTTGCTCCATTGTCATAGACTTGCCAACCAAAACACGACCGTCATCGTGTTGTTTTGAAATAGCCTCGGATTCTATATCCTGCGAGAGCGACGCAATAGTGGCACCGAGGTCATAGCTATTAGCTTCCAGTGCAGCTTCTATTTCATCATTTGATCGCTTGTCACCCAGCACCGTGCGCAGTATATCATGTGGGCTCATATCTGGAACAAATTCAACTGCAGTGGCGCTGAGTGCCCCAGGGGTACTGATACCGCCCGCGGATGATGTTGTACTGTTGGCATCATCTGCGACTAGCCAGTCAACATTGTTATCGCCTCCAAAGTCTCCATAGAAGTCTGAAATCTGACTTTGGTCCGAGAACTCGTAGGCATTTAAATTTGGGGAATGAGGTATAGGCTGCGCAAGGGCAAGCCGGGGCGACGGGCGTGGAGAGGTAAATGGAGAGACAGTAGAAGATAGCGGGGGCCGCGAGAATGGCCCACGGGAGCTTTGCATCCACGAGTTACTCCCGGGGCTTGTTCCTAAAGTCGAATGGGGGGATAGCGGTGTGGATGATCGAGCCATTTGCCATGGCGCAGGCGATGAGCGGCGAATCACGGTATGACGAACTGGAGGAGATGCATCTGGCAGGTTTCGGTTGCGATGGCGCCAGAGAATGTCCAATACCGCATTCTCTAAGGGTGTACCTGCCAAGGATGTGTTTGCGCGCAAGAAGTCCTCCACTTTCTCCGCTTGTTCTTCTTCATCCAGTGCCTGATCCTGCAGGATCTGGAGACTTTTCTCAAGAAGTTCGTCGGAAACCATCGTGTATGTTGATATGGGTAACACGCGAGGGCGAATAGAATCGGGAAACAATCGGAGACCCCTAGCGGTGAGAGGGGTTGGGTCTTGAATTGGGTGTCCGAAGCCGGGAAGAAATAAGGACGAAAATGCTTGACGAAAGTAGGACTAGAGTCGAGAATCAGAGACACCTCATGCTCTCTCTCTCTCTATGACCAGGTGGGAAAGTGAACAAGGGGGTTCCAAGGTTGATTTCAAGTTATATCGCAAGGTGAGAGTTGCAAAAGTGATAAATGACAAGCAGATAATTACATATCGCCGTCGACCGACGTTGAATGGGAAAGGTGAATAAAGGGTGAAGTGACGGACAAAGAGGGGGAGATCAACACTGGGGCTTATCGGCTGAGCTTCAAGTAACACTACCGGACTTATGTGGCCTCTTTGGATATAACAAAACAAGTAAAATATGAAAGAAAATATGAAACTATCAATATTAGAATAATTAAATAAATAATAATAATAGAAAGATTCGTGTGGTTTAGTTGTTTGTATAGCAATCCTCAAGGAACATAAATATATGTGCATAGATACAAATATATCTAGACAATGAGAATTATATGTACCTGATCATATAAACAGTATAAAAGAACAGCCCTGTAGCTCCCAAGACCCTGTAGCTCCGAAGAACATGTAGATCAACACTCCCGAGCTCGAGTCCGGCGGATCCGCTGACATGCAATGTGGACTTTCAGGGTCAAACTGATTTTCAGCCTAAAAGTGCTTGGCTACTCCTCCATGTCCGGTCCAACTATCAGGGCCTTGACATGCCCTTGAAACTTCTTTGGATATTTGCCTATTGACCTTGGTATCACACTTTCTGTCGGTCACTGATTTAGAGCGGTTCATCTTCCCCCCGGATTCGACCCAACCTTCCAAATATTGATACCCAGGACTATACAAACACCTCACAATGCCTGCGGACTACCAGTCCACCGCCAGGGCATTGTCTCTCTCACCCTCTTCTCCGGATCCCATACCTTCTTCTCCAGGCAGTGATGCTCACCCGCCCTGGAGTCGCGCCAGCAGGCGAAACTCCAGACCGAGCGGGCCGGGTGCAAGCTATCGCGAACAGATAATCCACCGCGGTACAAAGTTATATCACCGTATGAATAAAATCTGGGAGGAGATGACTCCATGGAAGAAAATCGGGACTGTCCTTGCTGCTCTATTCGTGGGCGCATCCGGTATCGCGTTCATGGTGTTCACTGGGAAATTATTCATCTGGCTTGGCCCGGTCGCTGAGAAGTGGGAAACATCCTGGCTAGCCGCCTTTGTCCTGTGGCTGTGTGTCTTTTTTGTCTCATTTCCGCCTCTGGTGGGTTGGTCCACATTTGGTACTGTGGCTGGATTTATATTTGGGATATGGAAAGGGTAGGATATGCTCTGATTCATGTTCATTTTACCCGCGAAAACAATGACAGCAGGCTAACTTGATATTTCTTCTATAGATGGTTGATCTACGCCTCCGCAACAATTCTTGGGTCGACTGTTTCGTTTTATGTTTCGCGGACAATTCTGTCTGGATTCGTGAATCGCCTTATGGAACGTGATACGAGGTTCGCTGCATTGGCCCTGACATTGAAGTATGATGGGCTCAAGCTTCTTTGTATGATCCGTTTATGCCCTCTGCCCTACTCAATTTGCAATGGGGCTGTGTCCACATTCCCTACGGTGCAGCCATTGATGTACGGACTTGCGACGGCCATCATCTCTCCCAAGTTGTTGGTTCCTGCGTTCATCGGTAGTCGGATACGTCTGCTCTCCGAGAAAGGCGAAGAGATGAGTGCGGGATCCAAAGCCGTGAATATCTGCAGTATTATCCTTACAGTCGGCATTGGAATCTTTACCGGGTGGTATATATACCAAAGGTTTGAGCTCCCAAATTTATCCGTTGTCCATATCTTGTGGACTCTTGCTGATCTTTCTCTCCTTTTTTTTATATAGAACCCTGGCCCGCGCAGCAGAGCTCGAAGCCCAAGAGCGTGCAGATATCCGAGATTCTCTCGAATCTGATCATGCAACCCGCCGCCCTCATCGTGGGTTTTCGGAAGATCCTGATGTGAACAAAGCCTCTACTACGCTTGCAAGAGACGAAGAGGAGCGAATTGGATTCACTGATCTGGACGATGACAATGTTGACCTGATTTTGGGTGACAGTGATAGTGATCAGCCGGGTCCTTGGAAAAACTCGAAGAGATCATATCACGATGAGTTCACCGATAATGACTCGGACGGGTTTGCAGGGGAGGATGGTTATGGTCTGCACACTCATGTTCAAAACTAGACCAAATAAATGAAAGTAGATTCTGATGATATAAAGTGAAGAAATAGAGAGAGATCCCTTGAACGTTGAACTTCGGTGCCGCAACCTGCCGGACTGAGAAATACGCCCCGCTCCGAGGAATCAAGCCACAAGGGTTTTTCTACTCTGGTCATCACTGTCCCTTCATCAAGTATCAACAATCCAATTACAATTCATTTCAATATTCTGGCTCTATTTGGTGGGCCTTATTCTCAATTCTATGGGAGGTTCTGTGGGGTGGAACTCGATGTATGTGATATCCATGCTTCTTCGGTCTTCACAGATCTATCCTCTCATACTCCCTGGTCTTTTTTATCATATTACATCCCATCTAACATAACCCCAGTTGATCCACTAATTCAGCCTGTGTTCTCTCGGCTTGTGCAGATCGAATACCTATGACCATATCATGGGTGAACGCCTGAATATTTGATATCCACACATTCTCGGGATAGAAAGGACTGTCGACATCACATCTTCGACTTTACAAGTTCACAAACCACGTCTTTTTGGACGTGGAATTTTCTTTCTTTTCTTTTTCTATCTTCCTTGACACACTCTTTTGGAGATCTACCTGCAGATACCCGTGTATCAACATGTATGGGTTTGGTGCAGCGTCCTTGAGGTTCCAGACCGGATACCCCACGGGTGAAGACTCATACATGAATCAATATGTCCCAAATCCCGAGATAACGGTGCAGGACCAAGAACACATTCTATCTCAACCGACCGAGCTATCTGAACCTCCTGCGAAGCGGCTGCGCATCACGCACAAGGCTTACGAAGCAGCTTCAGCGTCAATTGCTTTGGGAAATCTAGAACACCAAGACCCCAAGTCACAGACCTTCCTGTCTGATGGATCCCACATTGTTGGCTCAGCGGAGAGGCTGTATGCCGGTGGGAGTAGCACTACCCCGAATGAGTCGACAACCTCAACCGACTTGACATCTTCCTTTGAACTAAAAGCATCTACATCACCTCCTCCCAATCCCCTACAATCTCTTCCTATACAGTCAGTTGTCTTTGGACCGAATGTACTGGACAGCGGGAAAGTTGATATGTCTAAATGTCGACCTCGATCGTCCATCCCATCTAAAATCCACCCCTCGGTTTACGGTGAGCAGTGCGTCAGAGCGGCGTACGCATCACGACTGAACCCGTATGCTCTACACCGACAAGAACAAGAATTTTTACAAGACCACCTCTGCCATGTTCACGTCACAATCTACCTCAACATACGAAATGGAATACTACTACTCTGGGGGAGAAATCCCATGGTGGCTGTCACCAGGGAAGAAGCACTCGGATGTGCCAAAGATTACCGATGGATGAATCTGGCTTCGTTTGCTTACGACTGGCTCGCTCGAAATGGCTACATCAATCACGGCTGCGTGGAGGCTCCATTGGCCCCGGTGAAACCTAAACGCGGAAGACGAAAAGAAGGACCTACAATTGTTGTAATCGGTGCTGGAATGGCAGGTCTGGGTTGTGCACGCCAACTGGAGAGTCTTTTCCGCCAGTATCGTGATTCAAATACCTTGCCCCGAGTCATTGTCCTCGAGGGACGTCGAAGAGTCGGTGGACGCATTTATTCACATCCGTTGCACAGTCTCAAGTCAGAAAGCCTGCCTGACGGGCTTGTTCCAAAGGCAGAAATGGGTGCTCAGATTATTGTCGGCTTCGATCATGGAAACCCGCTAGACCAGATAGTTCGTGGCCAGTTGGCACTCCACTATCACAAGATACGGGATGTTTCGACGATTTACGATATTGATGGATCGCCCGTGAATGAGGTCCAGGACGCGATGGCAGAGAAGCTCTACAATGATTTGCTCGATCGAACCGGATTCTATCGTCACAAAGCAAAGATTGCGCCAACCGCTGAGGGAAATCGCGAGATGATCGATGCGGGCCGCGAATCGGTGGTAGATGACGGGCTCACTGTGCGACAGTACGAAGAGGCGAGGGCAGCTGGGACAATAGATTTATTGGTCCCAACAAAGCGGGTTCGGCGAGGAATAAAGCACAAGACTGCAGAAAATGAGCCATCCGTCGATGTGGCGAGTGATCTAGCGGGAAATTCGGAAGATGACCCGGCAGCCTTGACCTGCCAGACAACTGGATGGAAGCTTAGCCCAGGATACACCGTTAACGACACCATTGAACTGGACCAGATTTCCAAGGCATCTCAGGCGCAGACTCTTGGTGCAGTGATGGATGAGGGTGTCAAACAGTACCGAAACATGCTTCCGGTGACTACCAAGGACATGCGGTTGATGAATTGGCATTTTGCCAACCTCGAGTACGCGAATGCAACCAACGTGAACAGACTTAGCCTGTCGGGATGGGACCAGGACATCGGAAATGAGTTCGAGGGTGAACATTCCCAGGTCATTGGTGGCTACCAGCAACTACCCTACGGGCTGTACATGCTGCCAGAAAAGCTCGATGTCCGTACTGGCAAGATTGTCACCGATATCTCTTACGACACAACTGGGTCCAACAAGAAACAAAAGGCAGTTGTCCAGTGCGAGGATGGAGAACAGTTCCTGGCAGATCATGTTGTTTTCACCGGTTCTCTCGGGGTCCTGAAGCAGCAAAAAATCAAGTTCGAGCCATCTCTTCCGGACTGGAAGCGTGGCGCAATTGATAGACTGGGGTTCGGAATAATGAACAAGGTCGTGTTGGTGTTCGAAGAGCCTTTCTGGGACACCAAGCGAGATATGTTTGGCCTACTCCGTGAGCCGAATAACCCTGCTTCTATGGTCCAAGAAGACTATGCGGCAAACCGCGGTCGATTCTATCTGTTCTGGAATGTCATGAAGACTACTGGGCTCCCATGCTTAATTGCCCTCATGGCTGGCGATGCAGCCCATCAAGCAGAATCTACATCAGACGAAGAAATAATCACGGAGGTCACTGGCCAACTTCGAAACGTCTTCAAACACACTACAGTTCCCGATCCCCTGGAGACTATCATCACCCGCTGGGGCCAGGACCCATTCACATACGGCAGCTACTCCTACGTGGCTGCAGCAGCGTTCCCAGACGACTACGACCTGATGGCCCGGTCAATCGGCAACCTCCACTTCGCCGGCGAAGCCACCTGCGGCACCCATCCAGCAACCGTCCACGGAGCATACCTCTCAGGCCTTCGTGCGGCATCAGAAATAATCGAGCCGATATCCGGACCCATCATAATGCCTCACCCACTGGTCCCAGAGAAGTCAAAAGTAACCCGAAGCAAATCTTCCACGCCAAATGGCCCAATCACGAAGAAAACAAGAACAAGAGGCAGCTCATCCCTCTCCTCCACCGAAAGCCCAACAATCACCCAATCAAAACCCGCCTCAACCTCCACCTCTCGTAAACCAACCTCAACCGAAAAGTCTTGCCGCGACGCCTACGACCAAGCCCTATGGACAACAATCTACGCTGAGCTCGGCTCCGCACCACCGCGCCCCGCAAAATCAGGCCTAAACCCCTTCCTCTTTTATCAAAAAGACTACTGGGGGCGTTGCCGCGACCAATGCGACGAAGCCCGCCGCACAGCATCAAACAACCCCAACGCAAAGGCTCCACGCGACGAGATCCGTGCCGCGCTGGGCCAGATGTGGCGCTCTGCGACCCCAGCCGAGAAAAAGCCCTACCTCGACCAGACGGAGGTTAACCGTCGTGCTAATGCCGAGGCTTGGGATAAGTGGAAGGTTGATATTGCTGAGTGGGAGCGGAAAACTTTCGTCGTTAAGGATCGCTGGTGTTCGGAGAACCCATTTGATGATTGGGTTATGCCGGACTATCTTGCTGAAAGTGCGTCGTCGGTTCCCGTTCTTGCTACTGCGTTTACGAATGCTGTGCCTGCTTTAAAGTCTGAAAAATGAGGATTTATCAGTCTTTTACGGCGGTAGGTAGACTATCTGCGTAGATGACAGTCAAGGGAAAGAAGGTAATTCGTCTCTGAAGAGACGTGCTGTTATGAGTATCGTTTCAGCCTTAATTGATATCAATGGATGACAGTCTTAATTCAAATGGTCTTATGTAGATAAGTAAGAGAACCTTGTAAGGGTATGGAAGATGATATGGGAGCTTCACTTTTTCTATTTCTATCTCTATGAGTATAGGCATCCCAAGCAGACCAACTGATATTGAACCAACAAAGACCACTTGATTTCCTCTTCCATAAGACATGGTTCCTCTTCCATAAGACATGGATAAAAGAAACAGGGAACAAGAAAAAGAAAAAAAAGGCATAAGGAAATCCCATCGAAATATGCACGGGGAATTTAGAAATGAGATATCGCATAAAACAGATATAAGTCTAGAAGCAAGCAGAATCCTCGATACAAGGGCCAAATATCATGTTTTCATGTATCATGACGAGAAATGGGAGGAAAGTGGGAGAAAAGGTGTGTATATGTATTTAGAGAACAGGCTTTGCCTCCTCGTGAGTCTCGGTCTCGGAGAGGAACTTCTCAGCCTCGAGGGCAGCGACACAGCCAGATCCTATTAGAATATTGAGTTAGCAAAATGCAATTACGATAATGGAATCATTGAAGTATGAACATACCGGCACTGGTGATAGCCTGGCGGTAACGCTTATCCTGAACATCACCGCAGGCGAAGACACCCTCGATGTTAGTGAAGCTGGTACCGGGCTTGGTGACGATGTATCCCTCGTCATCGAGCTCAACCTGGCCCTTGACAAGGGCATTGGCGGGGTCGTGACCAACAGCGTAGAAAAGACCGTTAGCATCAACGACCTCCTCCTCGTTAGAAACAACGTTCTTAACACGGAGGTGAGTCATGAGACCGTTAGGCTTAGTCTCGCCGATAACCTCAGTGGCAACGGTGTTGAAGCGGACCTTGCACTTGGGGTGAGCAAGGAGACGGTCAGCCATGACCTTAGAGGCACGCAGCTTATCCTTGCGAACGAGAACAGTCACGTTGCTACCGTACTTGGCGAGGAACATAGCCTCTTCAGCAGCGGAGTCACCACCGCCAATAACATAGAGGGGCTTGTTACGGAAGATGGGCACGGCGCCGTCGCAGACGGCACAGGCGCTGATTCCGTTTTGCCAGTAGGTCTCCTCGCCAGGGAGGTTCAGACGACGGGCGTTGGCGCCTGTGGCGATGATGACGGCGTCGGCAGTGCGGACGGGCTCGCTGCCCTCGTCGTCGTTCCACTCGGTCCACATCTTGAAGGGGCGGGAGGAGAGGTCAAGCTTTGAGATTGTCTCGGTGATGATCTCGGTGCCGAAACGCTCGGACTGTGCGCGCATGTTGTCCATGAGCTCGGCGCCGCCGATGCCGTTGGGGAATCCGGGGAAGTTCTCGACGTCAGTGGTGGTCGTGAGCTGACCACCGGCAGCGGTGCCGTTGGCGAGCATGCCCTCGTAGAGGACGGGCTGGAGCTCTGCGCGAGAGAGATAGATAGCGGCGGTGTGGGCACCAGGGCCGGAGCCGATAACTGTAGGGGGAAACGGTTAGGACTCTGATATTGGAGGAAATTGGGTGATCTAGATCATTTAGTCTTAAGAAACCACTTACCGACTACTTTAGAGTGCACCATTCTGGCGGTGTTGGAATTGACGCGCAACGGCGTCGGGAACGACTTAGAGAAGACCGAGGCCGGAGGGGGAGATTGTTGATGAACGGTAGTGGCCGCAGCGGCAGTCAATCCAATGGATCGAAGGGAAGGAAAACGACGAAAGGCGGAAGAAAACAGCTTGAAGGTGTTTATGAGAAGTGGAGGGAAGAGGAGGGGGAGGGAGATATAATATCTTTTCTCGGAGGGGCAGTGGAGACCGGGATTAGGTGAAGTTGATTGATAAACCGACAGAGATCAGAGAGACTGGAATAGAATGCGATTGGTTTCTTTGTCTTTCCGAGGTTTCCAGACCATAAAAGATTAGAGATAATTTTGTTTAAACTAGACAAAACTAGGCAAATTAAGGCAATTTCAATGCAATTCAAAGCTGAATCAGAGCATCGAGGCTCCGGGGCTTTCTAAGCACAGGTCACGTGTGGGGTCGAGACCGCTGATGTAATCTCATCACATCAGCCGAGGCGCTTCCCTCCGGTCCGAATTTGTATACTTCGGCTTTACTTGAGATCAGATAGGATAAATATGTGAACATGTCGGATTGAACCTCGCTGGATTTAGGGGAATCATATGTTAAACAAAACAAAATACATACAAATCATCAGATCGCAAAAAGAAAATGTCACAGCCAACATCGCTGACACAATAGTGTCAACATAGTACATTAGATTACGCCGAACCACTTCTTTTTTCGTGAACGGCTATGCTCCTCAGGACTGGGGGAGTGTTCAGCTATCATTTGTGGTGGCAGACGTTGAGGGACCTCGCCCTCAGAATCAAAATCCTCTTCTTCACTCCCAGGATATCCCTCATACTGTGGTTGATGTTGTTGGCTAGTGGCGGCGTTAGCCCGGGTATTATTGATAAGGTCGTGGTCCTCGTAATCGTCTTGTTCATCGTCATCACTGTACTCTTCTTCGGCTTCAGGTCGTGCATCTGCTTCACCCTCGTTCTTTTTGCGGCGAGGCAGGAACTTTCTCCAGCCCTTGACAATTTGCGCTGGGGGCGGGTCATACTCGGTGCCGTTGTAGTACAGTGCTGGAACGAGCAGTTTGTAGGGTGTGGTGACACCTGATGGGTCTTGTGGGCTGATCTCGAGGTTCAAAGTGATGGCAAGCCCGCCTTCGAGATTGATGTAGGCGCCTGCGCCATCATCGCCCTGCTTGGCAGCTTTCTTTGCCGCTTTTTGACTAAGATTCGTTGGTCGCCGGTGGAAGTTACCAGGTCGTGGAGGTGCTCCGGCCCCGGCCCCTGGGAAATAGCTGTCCCCATTCTCGTGGGGCTGAGCGGGCCCATCAACGCTTGCACGTCGATTAAAAGCAGCCTCGTCGCCTCGATTGAAACTCATAGTCCTTGTAGGAGGTGGCCCACGGGTGGACAGGCGCCTGAGAATACCAGGCTTCCCGGTAATCCCCTTGTCTCCACGACCCAGGGACAATGTTCGCTGCAGCTTCTTTGGCCGAGGTTCTGGAGTCTCTATCTCCGACTCAGGTGTATCCGGTGGAGTGGATCCGGGCTTATACTCACGAATCGAACACCAGTTTCGCCGAGGTAGTAATCGTTTGTTGTTTCGGGCTTTGCCATTCACATCCTGAGCAAAGATGGGGACAACATCCTCATCTGTGTTCGAGTCCATGTGGTGGACTGTATTCCGCTTGTTGAGCATATCCGCAATTAGATCGGTTTCCGGAATGTCTGCAATAGCAGACGAGATGACATTCGGCATGTATCGATAATCCTGGTCTTTGGCGATATTCAATTTAGGATTCGAATAGAACTGCCCAATTGCTGCGAGGTGGACATCGCCGCTGAAGGATTAGGTTAGTTTTTATCGTTTGAAATATGGGTTGCCGTTAAGCAAAATGCCTGGTCTTACCTGAGTATTGTGATCCGGACTGACTTCTCTGCGGCCAGATCCTGAAGATCCTCAACCAGCCATGTGCGCTCGGACTTGAGGTGCTTGCCAGCCCAGTGGTCATCAAAGACCTCCACGTTTCCGCCAGATCGATTTACAAGCCCACCAAGTACTCCAGCCTTGCCGAGTGACTTGCGGCTGTTCATGAAATTGCGGAGCATTGCCTGGAATCAACGTTAGTTTAAGGTTCAATCAAAAGCAGAAACAATCAGATTACATACCACTCGGGGATAAGCAACAGGGACACTTGAAAGAACGATCAAATGCTTTGTCTCTCCTTTCATGATCTCCCTGTGGCAGCGGTCCCACAATAAATCGCAGGTCTCTTCGCTGAGAACTTCATTGCTCTGCAAGAATATGTCAGTATAGTCCACAAGTCGGAAAATTGGAGTAATCATACCCGTCTCTCAGTGCGGCAGTCAAGACCCAAGAATGAAACTCCTTGGCCAAGAGACATGAAGAGATTTCGGCTTTTCTGCTCGATATATGGACCCGGATGAGCACCAAGGAGCCAGCTGGGTTCATCTGCCTCGGTTTCGTCGGGGACACTGTGGTGCTGGAACAGCATGTAATACTTGAAAGCAATCTTTCCAATCCCGGAGATAACAGAACTCTGCATGAAATCATTGTGATAAGAACCAAAGCCTTCAAAGATTTCATGGTCGTTCCAAATGTTGATCGTGGGAATCTGAGAGTTCGCCAACGAGAAGAGGCCCTGGGAGAACCACGCAGCATAGCGCTCGAGATAGAACTGCTCCAATTCAGCACGGAACTCGGGTGTGAATGACGCCCCATATCTGTCGGCGGGGTTTTTAATCTTAATCCATTCCTGGAAGAACGTTGACTCTGTGATAACCGAGTCATTGAAGATTTGATCGCCTCCACCAATCATCACATGAAACGGACGAGTCTGATGCTCATTCAGAATATCTCGCCAAAGCGGGTCGGGCCCGCAGACTCGATCAGAGTCCACAGAGGGGCTGAACCCGTTACCACTGTGGAACATGATGTTCATGGATTCTCCAACCGGGGGCACCCAGAATCCCAAGGCAGGTCCCTGGTTGATCCGATAGGCGATTCGCTGTTGCTTTGTGCTGAGTTCAACCTCTAGGTTGAATCGCCAGAATGTTATATCTCTTGCGGCATCAGCGTACAGACGGGCTCCTGGGATGTCTCGGTGCAGATCCGCCGTCTCGCCGTCGACGGCATGCATCCGGTTGGAAGGCATAGGCTGTTTGAGGCCTTCGCTGGTATAGTCGATCATGCTAGGTGAGAGCTCGTAGATGCCATCGTCGTTCTCGACGAATGATAGGTCGACTTGCTCCTCGACATGTTCCACTGGCTTGACGTAAAGGGGCCGCCCA